TTTTTTTTAAAAAGGGTCGTCTATTGTGAAGTAAAGATGACGATTTTTTTTTAAAAAGGGTCGTCTATTATATGTAAAGATGAAGGTTTTTTTTTTAAAAAGGGTCGTCTATTGTGAAGTAAAGATGACGGTTTTTTTTTTAAAAAGGGTCGTCTATTATGAAGTAAAGATGACGGTTTTTTTTTAAAAAGGGTCGTCTATTATATGTAAAGATGACGGTTGTTTTAAAAAAAAGGGTCGTCTATTGTGAAGTAAAGATGACGGTTTTTTTAAAAAAAGGGTCGTCTATTATATGTAAAGATGACGGTTGTTTTAAAAAAAAGGTCGTCTATTATATGTAAAGATGACGGTTTTTTAAAAAAAAGGGTCGTCTATTGTGAAGTAAAGATGACGGTTTTTTTTTTTAAAAAAGGGTCGTCTATTATATGTAAAGATGACGGTTGTTTTAAAAAAAGGGTCGTCTATTGTGAAGTAAAGATGACGGTTTTTTTTTATAAAAAGGGTCGTCTATTATGAAGTAAAGATGACGATTTTTTTTAAAAAGGGTCGTCTATTATATGTAAAGATGAAGGTTTTTTTTTTTAAAGGGTCGTCTATTGTGAAGTAAAGATGACGGTTTTTTTTTATAAAAAGGGTCGTCTATTATGAAGTAAAGATGACGATTTTTTTTAAAAAGGGTCGTCTATTATATGTAAAGATGAAGGTTTTTTTTTTTAAAGGGTCGTCTATTGTGAAGTAAAGATGACGGTTTTTTAAAAAAAAGGGTCGTCTATTATATGTAATAGATGACGGTTTTTTTAAAAAAAAGGGTCGTTTATTATGAAGTAAAGATGACGATTTTTTTTAAAAAATGGTCGTCTATTATATGTAAAGATGACGGTTTTTTTTAAAAAAAGGGTCGTCTATTATAAGTAAAGATGTCGGTTTTTTTTAAAAAGGGTCGTCTATTGTGAAGTAAAGATGACAGTTTTTTTTTAAAAAAGGGTCGCCTTTTAAAACACGCTAAAAAAAGACTGCTTAAGTGAATTCGTGCTTGACAAATTTTCAAATTTTCCCCCGTCTCTGAAAACCTTATCTCTTCCTCCTTGAAACCCTCCCGAGCTCTCTAAAACACCCTCGCTCGCTCAAACACTGTATTATCTCAAATTCTCTCATGAACCTTTCAGAAAACCCTCTCTCACACATCGATGAAGCACATCTCCCTCTCGCTGTCCACCGAACTAGCCGAGATCGCCATCTCCGTCACGATGTTTAGGACACCAAGTTCGCCAAGATCGCCATCTCCATCGCACCATTCAGTCCATCGAGCTCGCCCCCAAATGGATTCCCATCTTCCATTTTACGAGCTTTGGATTAGATTTTCTTCCTCGTTGACCAGAAAGGTACGAAGCTACTTTTCTAGGGTTAGCTTAGGATTCCTTTTATTTGATTTCAATTTTTATTTTTCCTTGTTTATGATGGTTGTTTGTCTGAGATATAGGGCTATGATTTGTTTGTTATTTAATTTCAGTGCGTATTGATGTATTTTTTGTGGTTGGATATGACTTGATTTAAGTTGTATATAGTTCAGTGGTTGCATTTTTTAACCTTTTTGCTTTTATTTTGTTCAGAAATTCTAGTTCATATGTTTTTTTGTACCTTTTAGTGTTTTGTTGTTGAGTTGC